GAATTCATGGCGTCGAGGTACCAAAGACGTGATCTTATTTGAACAACTGCCATGAAAATATTCATGTATAAAAACAGGCGGAAGACACGTCACGCTATTGGAAAAAAAAATGATGGGATATTTAATAAAATGCATATTTTATATTAAGCTCGTTCCAATTCTAGAAAATAACAACAAATTCGGGATACCAAATGATGATCATATTCTGCCTACTCTTGTCGCCAGTCCTCCTTTCTAGCTGTGAATTTTGGACACAGAAAGGGGAAAACTTGAGACAACACTGATGATGTTCAACAAAAACATGCTGAGAATACCATGGACGGAACAACGAGGGTGCTTGGAGGAAAATGCGAACAGAAAATATATTTTTACTTTGAATCACAACGTGACAACTAAAATACCTAGTGTGCAATGAAAAGAGAGCGATTGGAGAATATGACACTCACAGGAAGGCAAGGGTGTCAAAGGGGAACAGTAGTCTACGTAATAACGAACAGCAGAGTAGGAACTGTCAAGGATGGCAAAAGGTCAGATGTTACTAAGCTCTACAAAAACATTCACTGTTAATGAGGTATACTGATATTACATAACGATTCGCTTAATACTTTGCTTAGCTTTTGGAAGACAACTTTCGATATACCAATGCCCTACCCAGATATTCAAATTTTAATATTTGCTTGTGTTTGGTGTTCGTCCTGCACCATTCTATATACTATAGTCTTCAATCCTGCAACGGTGATGATGTTCTTCTGATGGATACTAAGAATACTATGGCCATAGCATGAGAGCAAAGAAAACATTTTAAGGAAGATGGAAACGGAAAGGATATTTTTTCTTAGAATCAGAAAAGGACAACTAAAATTTCTGGGAAACGTAATGAGGAAAAGTGGATTTGAGCTGTAGAGATTGTAAAAGTTTGGCTATTTGAGGGGATTTGCATGAAACTTTCAATAAGTTTTTAAATTAAAAATAAAGTCAGGTATTAAAAATGATATCTGCTAAATTAATCCTATTCGGTTTCAGAAAATTACTTAAGTATGTTTAAAAATAATATTTAAATTAATTCTATTCGATTTTAAATTTTTTTAAAAATGATCCTTAATAAATTTCTTTTATTCCGTTTCAAAAAGCTGTTTTTAAAAATGATCCTTAATAAATTATAGTTTGCATGTCTTTGGGTTCTTTCACATAGTCGGCTTGTGATGAGTTGTCTTGGAGCTGAGTTATCATGATGATGAGTCGGCGGTGTTGAGTCGGCAGTGTTGAGTCAACGGTGTTGAGTCGGCGGTTTTGAGTTGGCGCTGATGAGTCGTCCTGCATCATTCTATCTGCGATATTCCTCAATCCTGCAATGATGTTCTTCTGATGGACACTGAAAATACTATGGACGTAGCATGAGAGCAAAGAGGACGTTTTAAGGAATATGGAAACAGAAAGGATATTTTTATTTAGAATCAGAAAGTGACATCTGAAATTTCTGGGACACGTATTGAGGCAAAGGGACTCTGAAAATTTGACACTCGCAGAACATATTGAAGTCAAGAGGGGCAAAGGGAAACTGCTAGTAACCTGATTAACGAGCTTGAACAGGGAATGAGAGACATAGTAAAGAGATATTGATAAGAGCTACGAGAGGATAGGAAGTTGTGGAGAAACATGATCGAGATAATTCTTAAAACTGAAAAGATCTATATCTCTTTATTTTATTTTCTTTCGCAGCAGTTATGCCAACGTCATTTTCAGATTGCTAGGCCTGATGGGTAGTTATTATGTCGAGATTCTGCTGAGATGTTCCTGGCACAAAGCAGTTCCCAAAATCTGACCAAATTGCAGATTTTGCGAGGAATTCATTCGCGGTCGTCACACAACTTTTCATCACCTCATTGTAATGTTGGGATTATCAGTATTGGTGTCTGTAAAAAGTATTTAGGATGTAATCAACAGTAGTATATTTAAGTTTATCTATCTATCTATCTATCTATCTATCTATCTATCTATCTATCTGCATCTATCTATCTATCTATCTATCTATCTCAGTCTGCATCTATCTATCTATCTATCTATCTATCTATCTATCTATCTATCTATCTATCTCAGTCTCTTCATCTCTCTTTCTCTATCTGAAGATGTTCATATCTATCTAAGTCTGTTCCAATCTATGTCTGTTCCAATCTATCTATCTATCTATCTATCTATCTATCTATCTCAGTTTGTCCAACTCCCTTTGTCTATCTCTCTGTATCTCAATCTCTATCTCTCGATCTCTCTCTCTATATATATGCGTGTGTGTTTGTGTTTGTGTGTGTGTGGTTTTCAATCTATCTATCTATCTATCTATCTATCTATCTATCTATCTATCTATCTCAGTTGGTTAATCTCGCTTTCTCTATCTGAAGATGTTCATATCTATCTCTCTATATCTATCTCTTGGTTTAAGCCTGTTCCAATCTATCTATCTATCTATCTATCTATCTATCTATCTATCTATCTCAGCCGGTGAATCTCGCTTTCTCTATCTGAAGATGTTCATATCTATCTCTCTATATGTATCTGTCTATTGGTTTAAGCCTGTTCCAATCTATGTATCTATCTTTTCGCCATTTGCATATTAAAATCAATATGGCAGCTACTAAATTTTATAACTCTTCAAAACCTTTCTAATTTTAAACTATTAGGATCGTCAAATACGGTCATTCACAGATAATGACTTATTTTGAGCCTCTCTTTTCAGTCTTGATCCTGTTCAGTCGTCTCCATTTCCAGTATTAACAGAGTCCAGAAACTTTTACGCAGCCTTGTGGTTTATGAATATTTTTTTTGCAATCCGTCAGCTCTTTTCCTACAAACTCTAAGTCTCCAGTCTTTCCCTACTCTATCGCTATTTCCATGGTAAATAACCGATAAATTCTAGTCTTTTGTTCCACCAGTTCTACATTGCCGTTATACGTAAACAAAGTTAACCCACCCGCATTACACCCGTGTTCCACTTGTAATTAAGAAGCTACACCCAAACTCGCTTTAGCTAAGATCTGCTACCTAAGGGGAAAGGCTCCCACGTGGTTGCTTTCCTGAATATTCCACTCATATCTTCTTCAAGTCAAGCGTCAGTTGTTATCTATCTTCCTTATTTGCATTCATGCCACACGTCTCAAATTCTAAAATCTTTTTGCTTGACTGAGTCAAGCTTGCAGTGGTTGAACTATATTTAAAAAATAACAAAAAACCCCCCCAAAAAAAAACAAAGCACGCTTGCAGTCAATTGGATATCTCTGGTGTAGACCTACGACTGCATAGGAATATTGATTGGCTTCTTTTTTGGCTGGAAATCGATATTATTGGTCCTTTTGTTGATTGTTGCTATCAATACTTGCCCAGTATATATATTTCTGAGATGAGGTATTATGTATACTATTTACATTATTCGGACTATTTTACTCATCTTTGTTGCCATACCTGGTTAAGGCGATGGAAATCTTGGAGAAGTGAATTAACAGGAGATAACTGATAATTGACATCCATTAAACATGGCACGTGGAACTAAAACAGTCTATCCCAGTGGGCGAATAAAAGGGTTCAGTTTGACATTCCAACCACCTGAAAAAGGCCGGAGCGTACAACGGCCGAAACGTTGTGACAAATATGGCATCAAAGACAATATCAATGGACCGTATAATCCTTCCTATAACAATGTCGAGAAATCAGCCACTTAGGCCGGCCGGAGATATCAGTTGAACAGGTGAGAAGCACTTGTTTAGACAGCATGAGCAGTAGCTGGTAGATTAGACTGATCAAACGAACGGGCTACACAGGTATATATATATATATATATATATATATATATATATATTTATATATAAACTGATACCGGCATTCTCACCTGTACTGCCAGGTATGGTTCGTTGGGGTCGAGTAGTTAGCAATATAAGCCGATTTAAATAAATTGAAAGAGAAGAAAAGGGATAAGAAACTTTTATGACACAAAGATTTGAGTCAAAGTAACCCAGGTTAATATTATATTATCGCAATTGATATTTGATATTTTTCTCGTGAACCAGTCTACCATATAATAGCTTGTTTAGGAAGTAATTGTTAATGAGAGGCTTCAAGGATTATTTTATTATTATTATTATTATTATTATTATTATTATTATTAATGTTCTTACTAAATTTCGATTCGTACAAGAATAATGGGACAACAAATGAATGGAAAGCAGCAACGAAGGTCACTGAGTTCAGAGAAAAGTGGGTAAACCATCAGAGAATGGGAAACAACATATGTTATAAATTTAACACAAGCATACAAACATGCATATCTATCTATCTATCTATCTATCTATCTATCTCTGTTCTTTAATTATCCTTCTCTATTTCTATTTTTCTGAGACAGAATCTATCTATCTATCTTGGGTCTTTACTTATATATCTCTCTATATTTCTGAGTTTGCTCCTATCTATCTATCTATCTATCTATCTATCTATCTATCTATCTATCTATCTAGCTAGCTAGCTAGCTAGCTCACTTGCTTTTCTTTAATGATGATTATTTATGGAGATGACCTCCAGATTACTTATTTGTGTTGGTTGGTTATTCATTTGTCACTTATTCTTTCCTTCATTCCAATTATTTATTTATTTATTGTTTTCATACATTTTTTTTTCCTTTCAGAATTAGTAATAATATAAAAATTAGGCTCCGCAGGATCTGAATGTGATCTTATTTGTCATGTTGTGTTTTTAGGTAGAGCTGAAGGAATTTGTTTTCATGTCTGCATTTAGAAATTTGTACTGATCTTTAGTTGATTTGTTTATTGTGATCCGGGAAGATACTTATTCCTGCTTTCTTTTCTAGACCAAGATTATATCTAGTTTTTGATGTAAGCTGCTAGCGGCTTTCTTATAATCCATGTCATTTTTGTTGCGTTACTTTTTGTTTTTTAGTTGTCATATATGTTTTTATAGATTCGTATTACTTGCATATTTTTAGTTGTTAAATTTTTCTGAGTGTAGTGTCTTTGTCTCCATGGGATTTCCGTTATTCCTACATATCTGTTTCTGTGTTTACTTTTAATCTTTACATTGCTTTGTATATTGCATTATTTTTTTCGGTATTGTATGTGAAGGAAGGGACAATTCATCACCGCCCCCTCATCTCAGCACCAGAAAAACATAACTTTTTAATAAACGAGTTAAAGTAATTTATTATAGATTAAAACCTTACTTAGTGAATATTTTTTTCAAAATAAGGCATTATGTAAAATATGAACCATTTTTTGAATAGAACTTACCGATACATCCAGGTATTTCAAAAGTCAAGTTATAGGTTTTAATCTATGCAATCGAGGTAACAAATTATTTATAGAAAGAACAGAAGGAAGCCACGTCACGCCAGTGGGAAAGAAACTAACATCGAGATGCCGGGTCAGGACCGATAACATCACAGATCATTAAAAAATATAAGAACAAAATATATGAATAAATAATAATGAAAGATTATGAGCATGAGCCCTAAGATAATCCATAAGATCTGGACGTTTTTCACGATTGGTAGCTATATTTCTAAGCTTGTCTTCACGATAAAAGACATATTTTTGTTTCTTTTTGGACAAGGCTCTCCTTGGAGAGGACAAGACACTCCTCGGAGAATGCGTTAACTTTCGTTTTCTACGGGCTACTGCTCTTTTTGAAACTCTCTAATAATGCGATAAACACCGATATAAACATTGCCTACTAACTCTTCCCATCGCCTAAGCCATATTCTGAAAAATGTATTGTTCATATCCGTGTTTGATATCTTGAAGAAATTGTAGGATTTTATGTAGATTAATGTCATGCTACAGAAGGTACCACTAGAAATTATAACAGCGGCAGTCCGTTGCAGGTCCATAACTGCATTTTGCATGTCTCATTCCATATGTGCCACAGAGAAAGGTCATGGAATCAAGTACATGAGTCACTTCCTGGCACCTTAAACCAATTCACGACGTCGGCATTTGCTTTTACTCTAATTTTCTTTCACTATTCACCAATTCTTGTAAATCCAAACGGCAATAGGGAATGGAAGATGGGGGCAGATTTTGGTAAACCTGGAAGCTTTCTAGTCCGGTGAATGTAGACATCATTATAAAGAAGAAGAAATTAAATTCTTGGTTACGAGGTAAAGGCACCGGTGACGACGACATCTGATATCCGTTTGAGTTGTTACGACTATTGAAAGTCCTCAAGTGATGTGCATTTTCTTATTTGCTACAGTTCTTTTATTGGGATTCTGTAGCGTCAGTCCAGAAGGTTTGAAAAAGTGGATGACGATAATCAATCCGAATCTTAAAATCACGAATGTTTAAATCCTGATATTTGAAATCTCGAAAATTGAAAATACCAAATTTATAAAATTTCGAAAAATCAGAATGTCAAAATTTAAAATCCTGAAAGATCAGAAACGCTAAAAATAGTCATTGAATTGAGAAAAAAATGGAAATACCTTTATTTCTAGATATTTACAAAATAGCGTTTAAATAATGTTTACACATTTGAAACATTCAAAATTCATAAAAAATCTAAAACAAGAATATAGCATAGGCGATGAGAAAATTTAGTAGGCAATGTTCATGTCAGTTTATTGCATTATTGGAGAGTTCCAAAAAGACTAGACGCACGTAGAAAACGAATGTGAACGCATTTTTCGAGGAGAGTCTTGTCCTCTTCGAGGAGAGTCTTGTCCTCTTCGAGGAGAGTCCTGTCTGCTTTATCATGATAAAAAGCTTACAAATATAGTTGACGATCGGAAAAACTGGCCAGATCTTATAGACTATCTTAGGACTCTTGCTCATAATAAATAAATTATTCATATTACGGCGTCAATTGGTTTAAGGTGCCAGGAAGTGACTCATGCACTTGATTTCATGGCCTTTCTCTTCGGCACGTATAGAGTGAGATATGCAGAATACAGTTACGAGACTGCAACGGACTGCCGCTGTTATAATTTCGAGTGGTGCCTAATGTAGCATGTCCGTCGTGCGTAGCCCTCTTCATCCGTTGGTTCAACCGCTGAGATCTGTTGTAATCGTCATCCACTTGTTCCACCGTTGGGGTTTTGGGGGGTTGGTCTTGGTTAGTCTTGTTCCATATCATCAACCTTGTTGTCAGGGGTGGTCCTACTAGGAGTTTAGAACTCCCTACGGAATCGCTCTTTATGGTTAGAGAGTACAAAGTGTGAGTATAACAACCAAGATGAGTTTTCGAGTCCGAATTTACTTTCAGAATATGAAACTCATTTTGGTTTATCTTGGTATCGTCGTCGATTTTATCTCGTACCCAAGAATCTAATTTCCTCTTTAACTTATCGCTTCCTTTATGATTGTGGTGTTGATGACTATATTCACTGTCAACGTGCAGGTTCAGGACTAAAAGCTTCTAATTTCATCAAAACCTGCTCCCATCATCCATTCCCTATCTCTGTTTGGCTTTGCAAAAGTTGGCTGAAGGTGAAAGAAAATCCAAGTA